CGCTCCCCGTACAGCAGGTTCTTCCTGCTTTAGCCCACCTTGTATTCATGAGCGTGCACGAGTTAAAATATTCCCAGGCCCTGGCAATCACACAAGCACACCGGTGTGTATGCGTACCCACCCGTCGGGGGAGGGGGGCGTTAATGGTCTCACAGATCGCACCGAATCCACAGTGGCAGCAGCACGACAAATGTGCTGGCAGCATGTGGTGTCGCGCTGTCGGCGGCGGTTGACCGCACCTCCCCTGCCCGTCCACGGAACGCTCAACGACGCGCGCAGGCAGGATCGCGTACCAAGCGCCGCACTGACAGTACGGTTAGCTCTTTATCGTGCAGACCCAAGCACGCTGAGTAAAGAAAAGCTGGGTAGAAAGTTGTGGGGTCTGCTAATTACTTCTGCTGCGCGGCCAAGAACACCAACCAACTGTTAGCGTGCTGCAGGTTCGGATTTCTTGATTTGCCTTTGGAAAAAAGGATACGACACTTCTACTTGTTCATAGTGTATGATATGAAAAGAAAAAGGGCAGTTACTGATGGTAACTTTCCTCTCTGCTGGTTAAGAATTATTGATGGTCCTTATTCTCTAACTGCAGAAAACACACACACATTCCTTTGATCTCTGTTGGGAACCCTTCTTGGTGAACAAGTGCTGCGCAAAAGTGCAAAACACTTTAGTTGCAATATCCGTGGCAGATGGCGAATCGTCGAAGAAAACGCTTAAGAAAAAAACCCATGCTGAGTTTAAACTACCACGTAGCTAACAGTTTGGCCCTGAAATCAAACAAAACTCACTAAACCATATAATAGAGGAACGGCATAAAGTTAGTTGGCAGGTTGTGCCCTGTGTAAATTATGCTTATTTAAAATTTTTCTTATTCGAGGAGGAAAACTATTACGGCCCGTGCCCCTATTTTAACAACCACATATATTAAGAAGTCTTAATAACGATCATAAAAGAACTACCACGTCTCAAATGCAATGCATCGTTTTAAATCAAAAACTATCGTTCAAGAAGGAGCAGCTGCCTGATATCATTGGCCTAATAGATGTGGACACTCGATTTCAGTGTCGTATATGAGAAAAGTATTTTGTGATTACAGATATCTACGCGCAATCGGCTTAGATTCTAAATAGTGTGTCATTTTTCTACATCGCTTCGTAATACTTCTGCCGCAACATTACTCTACCAAACTTCACATTAGTACATTTAATAAAAGCAACGCCAGGCATAATGTGGGCATGACGGATGAGCTTACAGTCCTTAACCAATGACATAATAAACCAAAAAGTCTCTCGAGACGTTCTACCCTATAGTTCACAAAATAAAATAACTTTTTCGTCGAGGTTATCTTTAAGTTTATAAGGATGATTGTGGCGATTTCGTTTGGTACTTTATTTCTTTCGTACTGCTTTTGGATAAAGGAACAACAATGGTAGGGGGCGCTCACCGATCGTTCATACGGAACTTACTCGTTCTGTTGTGCCTTAAGGGCTCTCTCTCGAGCCCAACCAGCAGCCGCACAGCAGCGCATGATATATATATATATAGGCAGAATGCTATTACCGACAAAGACAAGGGAGACTGGAATGGCCATTTCTGGCCTATTTGCCGTCGTCAGCCAGCCATACCCAAGCCCGAAGTGTGAAACACCCGAGCCTCGGTGGGTAGAGGCGTGGACTTCTAAACCAACAGGTTGCGAGTTCGAGGCTCGGGTGTTCCACACTTCGGGCTTGGGTATGGCTGGCTGAGGACGGCTAATAGGCCAGAAATGGCCATTCCGGTCTCCCTTGTCTTTGTCGGTAATACCATTCTGCCTAAAGTAACAACAATGAATTTGAAGTAAAAAGACTTAGCTGACTACGGAGATCGAAGTGCTTATGTTTTGGAAAAATTGCTTTTGAACACAGCTGAATAAGTAACGAGCAGAAAGTCGGTTATTCATCCACCGACAAAGTCATTCTCATTTTGCTTACTTCGCAATTCAATTAGGATTCAAACGGTAGCAAATACCTTATTTCCTTCACACTCAAATAACCATACTGACTCCTAAGATTCGGAGGGTGACAACTCTTGCACAGCAAATGACGCTCTGCCAGTCAGACCCTTTTTAAAACAGACAATATTTCTTTCTCGTCTGTGCACATAAGTCCCTTCATACTATTATCATGATATCAAAATCAAGTAGAAGTATGTAGCGGATGATGGGAAGAGGTTTTCAGGCGTCTTTTGAAATTCGCATGATAGCTTACCCTCTGTGAAGAAGCATCGGTATTAGGACCGTCGTTGCCGACGATGTCCACTGTGTGTTCCAAAGAAGGATAAGAGCAGAGACGGTAGCTTGCGCATGAAATCGTTTTGATTAATAGTGAATTTGCGCTGCATCTCCTGCATTCTCTCCTCCTCCCCTACCTGGGCCTGATGTCATGACAGTGTCACGAAGGCCGGAGGCGGGGGGAGGGCGCAAGTGATTGGCACGGCAAAACCCCGCAGCTAGGCACACCACTACAGCCTCTGGTCCACAACAAAAAATTGGAAACGGTACAGATTCCACTGGGCGCAGCGTGAGTCTGCACCTGGATCTGCCACTGAATCCCCAATGATGGCATTTGTTATGTGTGCGCATTCCTAATACGGCCTGCCGAACCCCGATCTGGTCCCCATGTTGCTCTAGCGCGTTTACTGCGTGGGGATTTGCGGACGCAATAAGCATTACCCGCTGAGAGACAATCAATATGCAACTCGATTTCCATCCTAGTTTACAGCTAGAACTCCCCACTGATCACCTCAAGTACTCTACTGGTTCTGATTATGTTGTCCTTTGCGCCATGCAGACTCATCACATGTCCTCTTGGAGGTGCTCGATACTAGCCCTCTAATCATCGGCGAATTTCACGTTGTCCAGGTTTTAGAAGGATAATAGGCGCAAATAAATTTCCTCTAGAAACTAACCTACATTGTTTTGCATAGATAACGGTGTTAGTGACTTCATTCGCCATCTTCACAACTTCTTTGTATATATCTGACACCGGGATTTCGTAGCAAATCACGCATCACACGGGTATAAACGAAGTTTCGTTGAGGCTGCGCCGGTGGTGTTTTTTCATTTTGGATTTTTCGAATCAAAAAGCCCATTTGATAGGTCAAACGCATCTTTTCCTATGATTTTCTCCTTCAATCGACAGCAAAGCAAAACCAAATACTCGATCTTATCAATATGTAGCATTCACAAATTTTTGCTTTTCAACTTCAAGTGAGCAAACATCTCTCCCATGTAAATATTAGCAACAAATCTTTGATGAAGGTGAAACGGGACACGCAATTTTTGGACGGCTTTAATTTGCAGGGATTTTTGTAAATTGAGTATTCTGAAACACGCAGAAGTTAGACTATTCTGTTTTGACTATAAGTAATTATTTCTCTCGATAGGCATTTCAGAGAAACCGGAGTAAGGTGAACAAACCTTAGATCTAGAGTCCTGTCAGCCGCCGCATTTTGGAGTCCATATTTTGCTCAAACCCATCTGTGCACACAGAGTTGACAATATAAGAACTGGCCTCATTGAAGCACTCACTCTGCCGTCGGGTCAGTAAAATAGAACGGCTCTCTTTAATTGCAGAAATCTCTGATGACGTTATTCGTCGATGACGCATCCCGCTCAACAGAAGTCGATCCAGCTGCCTACTTAAATGAATTAGTTTCTGGGCTTCATGAGCAGCAGACAGCCCTTAATGACATAAAAGAGCTATAGGCCATCTCCATTTTACTTTAGGAAAAACACTTGCAAAGATATTTCTTCTTGGCTCTCATGTGTCTAATTTTTTTCTATTGTCCTTATCTGCCATGATTTTGACAGAACATCATTTTTTCTAGAAACTCGTTTATTCAAAATGATTATAGAGTGGTGTACGCTATGATGACAGTTCGACCGTCGATTTCGACGATGCCCACCGTGTGCCCCACAGCTGCAGCAGCGGTGGGAGCAGGGACGGTGACTTACGCAGGGGTTTATAGTGCCAGTAGACTTGCGTAGCATCTACCTACACTCTCTCCTCCTCCCCGCCTGGGCCCGGTGTCAAGACAGAGTCAAGAAGACCGGAGACGAGGGAGGCCGCAGGTGGATGGCTCGGACGGATCCTCACCTTGGCGTTCCACCACACCCCCTGGTCCACACACCAAATAGCCAGGATTTGAACCAACACAACATAGATTTGGAGGCTGGCACGGCCGAAGCCGCACCTGGGCGTGCCGCCAACGCCTGGCTCGGATCCCACACTGTGATGGGAGTGCCATAAAGGCCACATTAAAAAGGAGCCACTGCAACCTGACTCTCAGACCGCCTCCCGTTAAGGAGGAGGTCCAAGGTACCCCGTCAGTTGGCAACCTTCCAAGCCACGGCTTTTAGCGCACCGTGATAGCTTCAAGTACGTCAGATTGTTTATAGTGAGGAAAATGCGCTGACTCGTCGACCTCACTCTCCCTTCCCATTCCCACACCCCAGCCACTGTCCGAGCCGGTCAGTAGACTGGAGTGGGGAATGGGCGCGGTGGCTGACATGGTCGACTGACCATGCCTGCGCGCGCCACAGCACGACCTGGCCCCCCCCCCCACACACACACAAACACCAGGATTTCACACAACGGGGGTTGAACGGCGTGTCTCTCACATGCGTGAGAGGGCCGGGGAAGGTGCTGCTTCAGCCCGTCCCCAGCCCACCAGTCCGCCACTACACAACACACACACACAACGTGACGAACTGCGTGAACGGAGAACGGGCGTCAAGCAGCAACCTTCCTATCCACGACACTTGACGTGTCGGGATAGTCTCGGACTCAAGTCACCCGTGCAGCCGAGGCCGCATGGGGACCGAGTCGAGATGCACACTTCCCACTTGCGTGGGAGGCGGCAGTTGAGTGCATGAGGTGTGTGAGGGTTGACGTATAGTGGGGTGATGATGTTAGGAGGTAGGGAGTGAGGGAATGTGTGGTGTGACCGGCGGTTGTCTACCGCAGGTCGTTGTGGATGTGCATGTGGCCGAATAGACCCATGCGATGCGTGAAGGTGCGAGGGCAGTGTGGGCAGTGGAGTCGAGTGCGGTGGGTGTAGGTTGGTGCTCCAGGCACTGGTTCGCCAGACTCTGTGCGATGGATTCGCAAGTGACCGACCAGGCCGATGCGTGAAGTGAAGGTGCGATCGCAGTGAGGGCAGATGTAGTCCGGGCCCTCACATCTGTTGATGGAGGTTGCAGGGGTTGTGCCTGTTGTTGTGTCAGGTGCGGATGTGGTAAAGTCGTGCGCTACAGACGCCGGAGTGGCCGTCGTTGTGGCAGTGAAGGAGGAGGTGGAGGAGGAAGGGGGGGAGTGAGGGGTGGTAAGGTCGGTGGCGTCGATGTCGGCTGGGGAGTGGTTAGTGGGTGCACAAGGTGATGGATTGGGAGTGGGGCTCGGCGGGGTGGGTGTGTCAAGACTGCGGTCAATTCCGCTCTCGTGGATGCGCATGTGGCCGAATAGGCCCATGCGATGCCGGAAGGTGCGAGGGCATTGTGGGCAGTGGAGGCGAGTGCGATGGGTGTAGGTTGGTGCTCCAGGCACTGGTTCACCAGTCTCTGTGCGATGGATTCGCAAGTGACCGACCAGGCCGTTGTGTGAGGTGAAGGTGCGGTCGCAGTGAGGGCAGGTGGGGGTGGTTGCGGTTGCTGTGTCGTGGTTGGCGATGTGTGAGACGGCAGCCTGAACGGCCACCGCTGGGGCAGTGGAGGAGAAGGAGGATGATGGAAGTGGTGGTGCAGAAGGAGTGTCAGAGTTAGTTGGCGGAAGAGAGGACGAGGAAGAGGCGGGCGCGGGGACGATGGCTGGGGTAGTTCGAGAGGTGCAGTTGGTTCGAAGATGTCCAACAAGTCCGATTCGTGCCCGGAATGTCCGTTGACATCGAGGACACGTAGGGAGAGGTTGTGCGGCGTTGCGTATTGGGCGAAGTTGTGATTTGCGGACTTCGCGTTTCACTTTGGCGGCGGCGATGCGGTTGGTTTCGTAGATAGCAGCGCCCGTCTTCACTGTTCTCCTCCATGTCGGACGATCGCGGGCGAGCTCTTCCCAGTTGGTCGGGTTGATGTGCAGGCGCTTCAGGGAGGACTTCAGAGTATCTTTGTAACGGCGAATTTGGCCTCCTTGACGACGAGAACCCGTCGCGACGTCTCCGTAGAAGAGTTGTTTGGGTAGTCGCTCGTCGTCCATGCGCACCAGATGGCCGCTCCAGCGCAGCTGCATTTGTCTCAGCATGGAGTAGATGCTCAGAATTCCCGTCCGTTCCAGGACTTCGGTGTCGGGGATGCGGTCCTGCCAGTTCAGCCTCAGGATGCGGCGGAGACAGCTGAGGTGGAAGTGGTTTAGTCGACGTGCCTGCCTCGTGTACACCGTCCAGGTCTCCGCTCCGTACAGTAGCGTCGGCAGGATGACGGCCTTGTACATCTTCAGCTTTGTGCTCAGTTGGAGACCATGACGATTCCAAACTGTGCTTTGGAGGCGACCGAAGGCTTGACTGGCTTTCGAGATCCTGTTGGCGACTTCGTCGTCGATCTTGGTGTTGCGGGAGAGCGTGCTGCCCAGGTACGGGAAGTTCTCTACCACTTGCAGTTGAGTCCCATTCACGTTGATTTGCGGCGCGTTGGGGGCTGTGGCTGAGTTGGGAGGCGGCTGATGCATCACTATAATTGTCCAACGAAACGACTAAGTCTAATTGGTCAAACTTGTGACTTAATTTACCAAAATTGGCAACAGTCCCACAAATGAACTGCCTGCAGTCTTATTTCAAAGACGATGACATCCGAAAATCTAGGCATCGTTTATGCCAAATCCTCTCGTTATATAGTAACACTTCGTTGATATTTACCGAAAACGGTTGCAACCCACCCAGATATACGGGAGTCATTGGTTAGAACGTGAGTCAGTATTACCATCAAGGGTACTTCAGTATTCAGAAGTCAGCGGAAATTCTTGACAGTTCTATCAACGCTTCCGACAATGTTCACCATGTCCTTCACAGCAAGGTGAGAGCAGGCACGCTGAGTTGCGCGTGAATTAGTTTGTAGCAGAGTAGATAGTCGCGGCATCTACTGCACTCTACTCTCCTCCGCAACCTGAGCCTGGCGTCGAGACATAGTCTTGAAGACCGCAGGCGGGAATGGGCACAGGTTACTGGCACGGCCGGACCCGCACCTAGGCGTGCCAGCACACGCCCGGTCCTCAAAAAGCACTTGACCAGAATTTTAACCAACAGCAAAAATAGGTCAGAAAGAGGAGCGAATGACACAAGTCATTGGACAACCATGCACATTGCCCGTATACCCGGAGGGAGCGCAAGCGCATCCACCTAAATAAATGCATTGCTATTACTAATTGACGTGCTCTGGTTCATGCCGTCTGATTCATTAGAGCAATTTGACAAGCGTGCTTATAAAGTGTGTACCGGTCATGAAATATGAACGGGAGGTAAAACATGCTCAATAATTAAGCTGCGAATAACAAAAAGGGCAAAATGTGGTTCCCTATTTACTAGCCTACTGCTGTTCGGCTTTAGAATGAGGCGTTTAATAGAACAACTGCGAAACCAGGCCTCACACTTACTCCTTCCGACGATCCCTCTCCGCCATCGACCACAAACCCACTGCTAGATACGTCCGTCCGTCTAGGTTACGCGCCACCCACAACCAAAGCCATTCCTTGCAGTGCAGCTGAA